AAACTTACCAGCATCCATGTTATCGCCAACGTCTCCGCAGAGGCGATCCGACGGCTCCAATTTTAATTGTTTCGATTCCAGTTTTTTCCACAAAAAAAAATTTTTTCTTCCTCTTCTTTCTTTTTCTTTTTCTTCTTTTCCTTCTTCTTCTTCTTCTTTTTTTTATAATTACGATTCAAATGTTATTCGATTCGTTATATTTAATTTAAATTTTTTTTTTTTTTCGCAACCGTTTTTAAATTTCACATTAAATTTTTTTTTTTTTTAAATAAAATTCAAATCGACCCGAACGTTTGTTTTTTTTTTTTTTTGTAACACTTAACTACATCACAATACGCGTTAACATATTTTTTTTCGCTTTCACATCAACAAATAATAAAAAAAAAAACTTTTCCGACGATGACGACGTTAACAAAAAAAAAAAATTAATTTTCCTATCGTTCACTTAAAAAAAAAAAAAAAAACCGGAAACCGCCGCGTTTAATTAATTTTCTCTTTCCGATTATTTTCCGGTTACTTTATTATTATTATTATTTTTTTTTTCTTGTCTCGTATAAAAACGAGTCATGCGTTCATTTGTAAACAAGAAGACAAATTATTCGACACACGCACACACACACAACAACAACAAAAAAACGGTGAAAATATTTTTTTTTTTTTGAAAACTTTTTTAATGATGAATCAAATGATGGATGCAAGAAATGGCTAATTTGTAAAATAATCTGAAACACTAAATGCACGTTCACTCATCTGGAGTGGACCTTTACCAACAGCGTTCTTCCGAATCGACGGAATCCTTTACGACGTAACAACAATAACAATAATAATAATAATAATAACCACTGTGTATTTAAAAAAAAAAAAACGAGAAGAAAAAATCGACCAATCAGATTTTTTTATTTCAATCGAGCAATCATCGTTTTCGATCGCGGTAAAATAAAAAAAACTTATAACCCATTTGAAATAACGTTACGTTCAAATTCAACTTACGATCATATTTTTTAAAAAAACGTTTACCCTTTTGAAAATTCGACATGTAAAAAGACGTTACTTTCGCGTCGGTTAAACGTGGGCGCAACTTGTTGTGTTAAGGTGTGGTTTAAAAATCATCATGGTCCCTCGTGAAAAATTCGAAAAACGAACACATGAACACGCCTTTTTATTTATTTATTTATTTTTTGTTTCCATCCCTTTTTTTTTTCTTTTTTTGAAATTTACCGGGTACCGATAATAATTAAAAAAAAAACCTGATTTGTTGTTGCGTATTTCTCAATTTCTTAATTAACTTTCTTCCTCCCCTCCCCCTCCCCTCATCAAACGCTAATAAACTTTTAAAACATTAAAAAATTATTATTATTATGGTAAAAAATTGTTACGTCGAACCCTATCGAACCTTAATGAACCAAAAATTTCGTTTTTTCCTTTCACAATTTCTGATTTTCTTAATTTGCGAGTAATAAACGATAAATAATAATAATAATGATAATTGAACACGGTTCCCTCTCTCTGTGTTATTTTCCTTTGAGACACGTGATACGGATAATTTTCTCTTAATTTTAAAAATCAAACCATTCGTAAAAAAAATTTTAACGAATGTTTTTTTTTTTTTTTTTAAACGGAAACGGAAATTAAAGAAGATTTAGTAAAAAAGTATAAAATATTTTTAATTATTTACTTACCTCATCTCGACTCGAATCCATTTCCGATACGTCACGCAAAGAAAAAAATTTTTTTTTCACTTCTTAATTTTTCGCGTTTTCTTTGGGGGGCCCCTTTTCTTCTTCTTCTTTCTCTCTTCAAATTTCATTTTCATCATTTTGTAAAAAGAATGAATCTAATAGAAAAAATTAATGGATGGAAAATTATTCTATTCACTATTAAATAAAACGATTAATTTTTTAAATGGCGGGCGGACGTTTTTTTTTTTAAGACAAACAATTTTTTTGTGTCGCTTTTTTTTTTGGGGGCAAAAATTCGCAAAAGAAATTATTTCTCCCCCCCCCCCACTCCTACGCGTTTCTTACAAAATTAACAAAAATTACAAAAAAAATTTTTTTTTTAAAAGAGACGTCGGCGACGGCAATGGCGGTGGCAATGGCGATGACATACATACGTAAATGGTATTATTATTATTATTAATATTATTTTTCACGGGGGTAACAAAAACATGTGGTCGCACACTAAGGGAAAATGCCACCGAAAGGCGGTTCTTTTATTGTCTTATTTTATTTATGACAATTTTTTTTTGTTTTAATGAAAGCCGACGCGTAGAAATTTGACACGGGTCAATTGTTTTTCCATATAGTCGCGCATTAAATTGAAACAAAAATATTTTCTTCCTTTTCTTTTCCCTATTTCTATCTCTCTCTATCCCTCCCTACCTCCTCCCTTTCCCTCGCATACAATTCTCTCTTGATAATAATGATAATTTAAACGTTAATTAAACATTCCTTTTCTTATATCGTTTTCAGAAACGAACCATTTCCGTTTGAAACGTTTCTTTTTCCGGTACGTTACGATATGGTAATTTAATAATTAATTCACCGGAATTCAATTTGTACAATTAATCGTTTAAAAGGGATTTAATTAAGAGAAAAAAAAAAAAAAAAAAATTTTTTTTGCATTTACCTCATGTGACAGACACGTTGGAAAATTCCTCCTTTTTTCGTGTGGGGGAGAGGGTAAGAGGGGGGGGTTTTCAGGTTTCATTTTTCGTATAACGATCTTCGAGTTGCGGGTAACAATTTTTTCATTTCTTTTCCGATCGATTCGAATTCGTATCGACGAATTGTTCCAGAATAAATTTCTGCATCCTAAAATATTTTTTTAAATACGATATTAAAATTCTCATATTTTTAAACAACGAAATGAAATGTATAAAAATAAATAAATAAATATATCATTTAAAAAAAATCATTTTTAAACTTTTGAAGTATGAAATAAATTTTTAAAAACCTTTCAAGTAAATATGGTTAATTTAAAATGGTTGAATTGGATTTCACGGTTTGGTTAAAAATTTAAAAAGCTCATCATCATCATCATCATTTTACAACAAAAAAGAAAAAAAAAATGTATTCGTATATAAAAATAAGTAAAAAGAAAATATCATATTATTGCCCATAAATCAACTTCAAAGTGAAAAAAAATTTAAATATTGAAAGAGAGAGAGAGAACTATTATTATTATTATTTTCTTTTCTACCCCCTCTACTCTCTCTCTCTCTCTCTCTCTCTCTCTCTCTCTCTCTTCACTTAACCAGCAAGTCGCTCTTTTATTTTCCATTTATTTCAAAGGGAACACAAACGACTTTCCAGTTAAATAATTTTATTCCTCGGAATAATAATAATAATAATAATAATAACAACGTATTTAAAAAAACATGTTTTTTTTTTTCTTCATTTAAATTCGAGATATCGCGATAATATCGAAATTATTATTATTATTATTACGTTATTTTCGAAACGTCACGATTCTTTTTTTTTTATACGATGAATGTGTTCACGCGTTTAAACAACGTGGGACGACTTAGTCTTCTTACGGTTCAATTTTAAATTCCGAGAAGATAAATTTAAAAAATTTTTTTCATTTAAAAAAAAATTTTATGGGAACAAAAAAATTAAAAAAAAAAAAAAAAAATTATAATACAATAATCGTAAATTTTACACCGGATTGATTAATCACACTCGTAAAAGTAATAATAATAATAATAATAATAATAATAATAATGATAATAATGATAATAATACTCAATAAGTGTTTTCTCGTTTAATAAAAAAAAAACGCAAACACTTCCGGTATAATTTCCAAAAATTAATGTCGTTAAGTAGAAAACAAAAAAAAAAAAAAAAAAAAAACGAAAAAACCCGATTGTTACCGATTCCATCCGAAAGGAAATTAAATAAAAAATAAATAAATTTTTTTTTCATTGTAACAAATAGAAGAAAATCCATTATTTAATTATTTTTCGAACTGATTCCGAGTATTTTGTTTTCAGTATTATTATTATTATTATTATTATTATTATTATTATTATTATTATTATTATTATTTAAATAATAGAAAACAAAAGAATATTTCAAACAGGGAAAAAAAATTAACAAACAAACAAACAAACAAACTTTTCATTCGTTTATGTATAAAAAAAAAAAAAAAAAAAAAAAAACTCATTTTATTTCGTTTGTTTTGTTTTCCCCTTTTCCGTTTGAAATAATAATTATAAAAATATTATTATTATTAATAAAAAAATTTTCCCCTCCTCTTATTTTCCCCCGAAAAAACATTTTTCTTTTTCGAATAAAAAAAAAAAAATGAAAGAAAAAATTTTTTTGGATTTTATTATAAAAACTAATTAAAGTGACAAATATATATATATATGACGTTCCTAAAAAAAAAAAAATTAATATATATATATATATTTGGAGTAAACGATGGGTGGGGATACCTGATTACGGTACTGATTATTATAGAAAAAAAAATTTTAAGGATTTAATTAACAAGTATAAGCACCTACCTCTAAAATAATAATTTCTTTATTTATTGTTTTTATAATTAAACGATTCCCCATTTTTTTCTTTCTAAGGTTGTCTTTTAAGTTTTTTATTCGATTAAACTGCTTGAGAGTACATTATCCAGCTGTTAAGAGCTGAAAATAAAAAAATAATTTTTTAAAATTTATTATTATTATTATTATTATTAGTTTTTTATTCGATTTAAATTAAATTTAAATTTAAACTTAAAAAAAATAAATTTTTCTTTTTCGTTTTTAATTATTATTTTACTTTGTGTTATATATATATATATACATATATATGTGTGGGTGTGTTTGTTTTTATATAACTAATCGATTAGATTCGATATTTTCAAATATTATGCATGAATTTAATACTAATGCCTTTTTAAATTTGTACTCATCACTTCATATTTACCAAAAAAAAATTGGAATGACTAGCACATAAAATCGAGAAAAAATTGAATTTTTAAAAAAAAAAAATATTTTCTGGCTATGTAAAATTATCACCGCCTAATATATCACTAAATAAATAAGTTATAGCTTCTGTAATTACATCTGAATTATCAATTTTATCAGGTTTTTCAATTTTTTTCTCTATGATTTCATCAATGTTTTGCTTTTGACCCAACGTCCATGGTAACTTGACAACTTTCGAATCTAATTCGTAAACATGTCTAAAAAGTCCTTTGATTTGCGCTTGTTGCGATTCCATTTGAAAATTTAAATCTCTAATCGTAGTATGCAGTCTATTCATCTCTTCTTCTTGTTCTTTGTCTTTTGCAGCTTGTTTGGCCGATTGCCTAGCATACTCTATAATTAAAACGGCAGCAGCAACTGTGAATAGTATTCCTTCTCCTAGTAAATTAGCACCCAATTCTATGGCCATGGCTTCGTTCAACGGAGGAACTTGAACCGGTTGTCCTAAATTGAGAATCCACATTTTCGTTTTAACTTCACACCAATTATAAACTAAAACAAATCAAAATTTAAATTAAAAATATACAAATTAATTTAATTGCTTTTAAAATTAAATTAATTAGTCAAAAATTTTCAAGTGTTGCCAAAAAAAAATCATAACCTCAAAAATTTTTTACTTTAGTTATATCTAAAAAAGATTTGTCATTATCATTATTATTATTGACATGACATTAAAATAGAAATTTGCTTTTACTCGAAGGCAAATAGAGGCATAAATGATTTCAAGGATAATTTTGAAAAAAAGGACATGAAAATCCTGGATAAATTAAGGTTAGCTTAAATTCGAATATTTAATTATCGATTTTTTTTGAAATCGGGACTAGGTCAGGTACGGAATAGCAGAAAATCGAAATCGGAACCTGACTAATATATAAAATCAAATATTACATATATTTAAAACAAAAGTGTATATAAAAATTAAAAATAAACCTACAATAAGCTGGAGGCAGACAAATATATTTTCTAAAAATTGGACTTTGTTTTGCCCTTTCTTTGCATGTATTTGCAATTGGTTTACTCAACGTTCTGAGTAATAAAAAGCCTAATTTGGCTACTGGAAAAGGTCCGACAACCATATTTTTAAAAAAAACTTTTTTTTTTTCTCTCTCTAAAAAGTACAGTACATTTTAACACACACAGTGTTTCAATAACAGACGTCTTTGATGAGAAAAGCAACGTTGCCATTTAAACCGCCGTTAAATATTTACCCTCCATTTTTAAAAAAAATTTGTCGCCAATCGGTAAAAAAATTTTGGCGCAATTTTAAACAATAATACAAAAAATTTAACTTTGTTTACATATCAATTGTTTACAATTTTTTCTTATTTATTTTTAACAAAAAAAAAAAAAACTCGTATTTTTGTAAAAATGTAAAAAAAAAATTTAAAAAAAATTAAAAAAAAAAAGGAAAAATTTAAAAAAAAAAAAATATTTAATTAAATTATTTGTTTTACGTGGCAGAACGTTAATTTTTTTCTACCATGGTTGCCGCTTTTCCATTGGCTAAAATTGGATTATTACTTATGAAACAATTGAGTAAACCATTGGCGAATTTAATTAAAAATGAAGCGAAAAAACATCCGTTGATTCGACGATACGTCATCATACCAACGGGAAAAGGTAGTAAAGTAAATTTTTATATAAATTACCCAAGTTAATAAAATAAATATTTACTCCATTTTCCAGCCTATCATTGGGTCGAAACTCAAGCAATGTCGAAGGAAAAATCATCGGTAATGAATTTAACGGAAGATGAAGTCGTAGAACTCGGTTCGAACGCCATCGGTGAAATTGTTCTTTTCGGATTGTTGACAATAATATTGTTGGCCGAATACAATCGTCAAGGAGAACAAAAAGCCGTTAAACAAAAAATGAAAGAAGATGAAATAGCAAATTTAATAACGACCGTCGTTGACACCATCGAAGATGTTAACGATTTAAAATATTCGGTTAAACAAATAGAAAAAAAAATTACCGATACTTTCGATGCGTTGGTATTAGATGACGAATCATTTACGAGTCATTTAAGCGATGATAATTTTCTTGATGTTTTTACCCAACCTAAAAAATCAAAATGGTTTTTTCAATCTTCGAAAAAATCATTCGATGATAGCAGTCCGACATTATGGTGATATTCCAGAAAATAATAATCTCTTATTTTATAATAATTCAACAGGTCCCACCGAAAATTGAATTCCAATAATAAACTCTTCCTCATCGATTGAAATCTGTAAAAAAAAAAAAAAAAAAGTTTTTAAAAGTAACCGTCAAGCTCCATTAAAGACGAAGTTTCCCTCTTCCCTCCTCTCCCCAAAAGTTATTATTTGATTCAATCAATTTGACTTATGTACTATTAATTATCCAAATAAATAAATAAATAATTCTAGAATAATAATAATATTTTGCCTTTTTGTTATGATTCCATAAAAAAAGGTAAAACTCCAAAAGGTTGTTTTTGACTCAAATTAATGACTTTTCACGCATTCAAGAGCGCATGTTTTATCCTGAATTAAATGAACAATTTTCCTTTTTCCTTTCCTTTCCTTTCCTTTCTCCTTTTTCCCATGGAAAACTTTTATGGATTTTCTTTAAAATAAATATTATTCGACTTGTAATGTAAACAACCTGTAACAAAAAAAAAAAAATTTATTAACGTACAAGCTGGAAAAAAATAAATAAATAAATAAAATTTCCATATTGTTTACAAATTTTTTTTTTTTTATTCCTTCCAGAAAAAAAAAAATTAAATAAAATTATTAAATAATTTTTTTTGGTTGTTGTTACGATTGAGCTTTTCAAAAGCTCCCGAATGTGATTTCCATGACCTGGAAAATTTTTTTCTCTCTCTTTTTCTCTCTCTCTCTCTCTCTCTAACTCCAAAGGCCGCGAACGAATGCCGTTCAGTCACTCCAGAGTCGGATTGTGTAAGACACGTCATTTTTTATTATTATTATTATTTTTATTTTTATTTATTATTATTATTATTATTTTAACATTATAACGTTTTAATTTTAGTAGTAATACTAATAATAATAATAATAATAATAATTCGTTTTGTTAAACATGTTATAATTGTTTAAATTTAATTATTAAAATAATAATAATGATGATGATGAGGTTGTTGAGTTTTTGTGAGTCGTTTTGAATTTTTTTTTTTTTGTTTATGTCGTGTACACATCAATAATGGCGAAATAATAATAATAATAATAATAATAATAATAATAATAATAATAATAATAAATATTAATTATAATTTTTCTTTTACGTGCGCAAGTTATAACTCTTTTTCTTAACCCCCTCCCCCCCAAACGATGTAATTTTTTTTATATAATGTTGACGACGAATAATTTTTACGTATGTTATATCGGTAACAACATTAGGATAGGATAATAATAATAATAATAATAATAATAATTACGTAAGGTAAGATAAATTTATTAAAATACCCTGGAAAATTATGAGGGGGGGGGGGGTTTTTATCGGGGGTTCGATTCAAATAGTAAACAAAATATTAAAGAGTTTAGAGTTCTCTCGTAATTTCCTTTTTTTTTTACCAACAACCTTTTTCTCTCTCTCACTCACACTCTCTTTCTCTCTCTCTCTCTCTCTCTCTTACTCTCTTCCCCTCCTTTCCCTCCCTCCCTTCCTCCTTCCCTTCTTTTTTCCACTCATCATTTTTTCCGAAAAAAAAAAATTTTTGTTTTGATTTTTTTTTCGAAAAGAATCAAATTTTGAAAATCGATTTTTCCTTAATGAATTTTTAATGTTAACCTTATGGAAAAATATTAAAATCGTGTCAAAATTTTCCAATTTTCTTTTTCCCCTAAAATAAATAATAATAATAATAATAATAATAATGATAATGATAATTATTATGCAAAATATGTTCTTTTCCGTCGTCGTCGTCATCGTCGTCGTTATTATTATTATTATTTTCATTTCTTTCTTTTCTACGAAATAATTTGTTCGTTTGTTTGTTTGTTTGTTTGTTTAAACAATTTGTACGTAAATTAAATTTTTGTTAATTATTATTACGTCACGAGGTTATAAACGACAGCAAAAAAATTCAAATTCGGCTCACAAAACTCGAATAATTTTTTTATTTACCAAATCGAACCTGCGTCATCATTTATTATTATTATTATTATTAGTACTACTACTACTACAAGGTGTGTAATGATAATAATAATAATAATTTGTGTATATTTTATAGTTACATAACAAAAGTTTGTGCTAGTAAAGCATTTTCAAACAGTTAACCGAAACATATCACAGCGCTCAGCTGATCAGCCTAAATTCTTTTTTTCTTTTTTCTTTTATTTTATTATTATTATTATTTTTAACGTACGTAAATTATTAATAAATAAAAAAAAATTATAATCGATGTCGTCGCAGAGACATAATTAATAAATAAATAAATTAAAAGTGCGATTCATTAATATTTTTTTATAAAAATAATAATAAACAATAAATAATTTTTGTGTTTTTTTTTTTTTAAATAGTTATCATGTTATTTTAAATAAATAAAATAATGTAATTATAAATTGGAATAACAATTCAGGTTTTAAAAAAAAACCTGAAATCGATCAGGTTTTTTTTTTTTTTTCTTTAATGAAAAAATAAAAAAAGGATTATTAGTATTATTATGATTGCTGCGGATGCGCATTCCAATTCTCCCGGTAAGTTATTTATTTTTTTATTATTATTAATTTTTAACGATTTATTCAAATTATCAAAACATTAGAGCGTACAGGTACGAATTCAACCTACTTATTATACCTCGCACGCGAAACGAAAAAAAAAAAAACGATAAAAAAATGTTAGAAAAATTTATTGCTGACCATTTATTAATTATTTAATAAAGTGACGTACGCACGCACGCACGCACGCACG